CCAGCTTTGCTCAATTGCCTCACCCCCGGGAATGGCTGGTTTCCCCTCCAGCCAGAAAGACAGGTGGCCAGGGGTTAAGAATGGGGGAGACATTGCAGAGAGCTCAGAAGTAAGGAACTGGTGCTGGGATGAATACTTCTGCTGGCTGGCCAGAAGCTGCCGACAAAGAGGACTGCCGCTGGGGAATGACTGGGCTGCCTATCTGCCCTGCCAACCCAGAGTGAATTATTTCACACATACTAGCCAACAAAAGGGCACCTGCTGGCTGCTCTTCCTGGAATGACCTCTCCCCACTGTTCTGGCCAGCCCCGGGCCAATCCTTCAGACCCCAGCTTAGCTAGAAATCATCTCTTCCAAGAACGCTTCCCTGAGCCTCCCAGTCCCTGTTACGGGGTCCTCCCCTCATGGCCCCCAGCATCCTCTAATTAACCTATTATCATTCTACTTCAGCGTCTTTCAAAATCGGTGGACCAGAAAACCCCTTTCACAGTGATTTATAATCAATTTCACAATGACTTCCATTTTCCCTCTTCTGTTTATAAAGAAGAAATTTAAATTTAAAAATAATTTCCTTTACATCACATATTAATAATGATTCTTTAACTTATTTTATGAAAAAATTTTTTGTGTGTGCCCTGAGGGGTGTGGCTCAGTTGGCTGGGTATTGGTTGGGCATCATTCTGTTCAATTCCTGGTCAGGGCACATGCTTAGGTTGCAGGTTTGGTACCCCATCTGTTGGGGGTGCATTCGAGGGGCAACCAATCGATGTTTCTTGTCAACGTTTCTCTCCCTCTTTTTCTCCCTCCTTTCCCCTCTCTCTAAAAGTAAATAAATAAAATCTTTAAAAAAAACTTTTTTGCATGTTTAGGAGGCATCAGACACAGTTCTAGACACTTAGGATGTGCTATTGAATAAAAGAGGCAACGTTCCCTACTCTCTGGGGCTGACATTCAAGTAGGAGAGACAGAAAATAAACACATGAATAAATAAATCATAAAGTATATTATAAAAAGACGCTTTGATGACACTCCTAGTGCATAAAAACCTAGTTTCTGCCATTTAATCAAGTAATACAGGCCAATTTATAATAAAACAGGCCAAGATCATTGTCAAAATAGAGACCTTTTTTCTAATGGAAACACTCACATTTTTTGTATTCTACCTCAGCAGAATTTAATCTTATCAATCAATGGCATTAGACTGTAATGTGGTTGTAAAAATGAAAAAGTCCTTTTGAGAAGGCAGCAAAAACTTATATTTCCTTTTACTTAGTCTCTAGTTTGCATACGTGTATATTCACGTTCAGCCTGGCCAAAGCGCAATTGTAACCTCAGATGAGTTCCATGCAATCATTCTACAAATTCAGTGATTTTATATTTTTTTAAAAACTTAAACTGCCATCAGATAAAAAAAAACAAGTAAGAGTGATTTTCAAAAAATCAAAAAACAGAGTGTTTATTTGTCTAAGAGAAGCTCAGACTTCAAGATAAATTCCATAATCTCCAAACTCTTGTAACAAAAGTGACATACATATGGGGTTTGCTTATGAAATTACATTTAGCGTTCAGTAAGAAAATATTCCTTTTTTGTAGCAGACATATTTTTCATTCTGGTTCTCCACTTCTGTAGTAAACATGAAGCCATGTGCTTCTGTAAAAACTGACTCTAAGAAAACTAAAATATAAAATTCTGAGCAATGGTCCAAATTATGATAATCTGCTTTAAACATTTTAAACCTATGTGGTGGATTTTTAAAGCTTTAACTAAAAGTGCTGCTTGGTATTTATTAAGCTTTTCTCTTTATGAATATCTGCAAACTGACTCTTTTCTCTAATGAATCTGACTCGCCAATATTTCAAACTGACATTTTTACTTCCACACTACATATGGTGATATTCTAATTCTTCGTTTATTAGTTGAGGTATTTCTTTACCGAAAAGCCCATCTGCTCTTTGGTTATTCAGTGGTTCGGCTCCCATAGGAGAGGCAGAACAAATGCTTGATTCTTTATTTTACTTACTAGTTTTCAAAATAATGAATTGATTCCTCCAAAAGCAGCCATTATGTTTTTTAAACCCCACTATGAATCCATGGATTTAAACAGATGTGTGAGTTTCCATCCACTGAAGTTATTATTTTCACATATGCTCAAACTGTCCCATCTTTGGCCTTTGGGAGACTTTCTATTGGTTCCTGCGTCCTCCTGAAATTACCTTACCAGTCTTTTATAACTTATGGTTTCATTGCTTAATGGTTTGACCAGATAGTCCAGCCTCAACCTGTATATTCTGCCTCAATCGTGGGAAACTGTGTTTTTAAAGGGCCTTATTATCTTATCAAGGAAACTCACCTAACCAAAACATGGGAGGTCCTAACATTTAGTCCCAGGCTTGGTGTGTAGTAAATGGTTAATACGTGCTGGTTGGCTGAATAAATTAATGATTATCACCGTCACTAGATTTTAAGTTCCTTGAGACCAGAAACCATATACTTCTAACAAGTATTTGTTGAACAGATAAATGAAGGAACGAAACTAACCATCAGGTGGTACCAATGAAGTCTCAGGCCCGGCAGAACCCTGGTATTTGTGATCCTCTATCACCCTCTGGTGGAGAAGTGCAGAGCAGCCTCCTCCAACGCCTGAAAATCCAGTGGAGTGTTCTTCAAACGACAGACCTCCCCCATCAGTGAGTTGTAAAATGCTGGGTCGTGACCAGCATTTCTGTTTTATTCCGGAGAGCTAGGGAGGGAGAGGGGAGGGGAGGGGGGAGGAGAGGAGAGAGAGGCGGGGGGGGGGGGGAGCAGGACGTCGATGTGGCGGAAACTTCGATCATTTGTCTCCCGTGGAGGGCCCAACCATAGCGCCCTCAACTGGAGACCAAACCGCAGCCCAGGCTTGTGTCCTGACCCGGAAGGTAACCCGAGACCTTTCGGTTGGCGGGACAGTGCTCCAACCAACTGAGCCACATCTGCCAGGGCCAGCATTTTTAATTGAATATATAATTGAATAGAAAATATCAGAGTGCCTTATACAGAGTAGAGGTCAATTCTGTCATAAACTGTTTATGTATCTATGAGCATACTTATTCATTTATGTATTACATATATTTTTTAAATTTCTGTTATTTATTTTTTCTGAGTTGGTTTTTAAAAAACTTATTGTTGTTCTGTTACGGTTGTCCCAATTTTCCCCCGTTGCTCTACCCAGCGCCGCCCCGCTGTCTGTTACATATATATATTTTTTTATATGTGGATAAGTAGCTGGTGTGGCTCAGTGGATTGAGCGCCGGCCTGCGAACCAAAGGGTCACTGGTTCAACTCCCAGCGCAGGGCGCACGTGTGGACTGGATCACAACCAATGACTTGTTGATACGTGTTTAACAACTAGCTGTCTAGGGGAAACTGTATAAGATAAATATACATACATTTGTTATAAATTTTTCTTTTTTTTTCAAGATTTTATTTATTTACTTTTAGAAGGAAGGCGAGGGACAAAGAGAGGGAGAGAAACATCATTGCGTGGTTGCCTCTCACAAACCCCCTACTGGGGACCTGGCCGGCATCCCAGGCATGTGCCTTGCCTGGGAATTGAACCAGTGACCCTTCGGTTCGTAGGCCGGTGCTCAATCCACTGAGCCACACTAGCCAGGGCTAAGTTTTTCTTAATATAAAGAATATGTAGCACATAGTTTACAAATAATGAAATATACAAACACTCTCTATTGTAAACTCTGTATAGCTAAATGCTCTCACAGAACGCTTTCCTTGATTTTTGCCAGCCTCTTGCATCCATAGCCCGCCTATGGTTTCCACTCAAACATGTCTGGATGAATGCCGTTGCATCCCCTGTTGATAAAGCCCTGATTGGCAGCACTTGCCAAGTTCCTCAGTGCAACACTCGCAACACTGTCACTGAACGCGGAGTTGGGAAGAGCTACACCTGGGAATGTGACCTGATTTGAAAATAAGGTCTTTGCAGATATAATTAAGGGTCTTAGGGTGAGATTACCCTGGATTTAGGGCGATCCCCTCCATCTAGTGACTACGCGCCCTGAGGAGAAACAGGGAGAGAAGACGCCACGAGGAAAGAACCCCGCGTGGGGGCGGGGGACTGGAGTCGGCAACGACAAGGACCGCCAACGTCTGGCCAGACCCGGAGGGAGCCGCTCGAGGCAGCTCCCTCAGAGCCTCCGGAGGGCGCCAACCCTGCGGCCCTCAGCCCGATTTCCGACTTCCGGCCTCCACAACAGCCAGGCGCTTGTTGAAAGACAGCAAGTGTGGCGGTTTGTTATGGCAGCTCTAGGACACAGGCGGCAGCAAAGAAATGACTCGAAGTTGAGAAACGCTGATTTAGACAGCCAGCCGTGACAGCGAGGGAGAGGACTTAGCTCCGCTGATAAACTGGGTGACTGCGTCTCCAGCACCCTGATCTGGTCTCCACTTACAGCCACCCGCCCCGCTCCGGCATTTCTACTCAATGCAGATAATAAGTGTTTTGAAAGCGAAAATAAGTCTCATAATTTAAATGTAAGAATTATTTTACGCATCTATTTTCTAATGAAATTTGATCTCATGCCCCTATACCTGGATCACCGTCCTGAACGTCGAGTTCATTAACGAAATTTTGGGATCTCTTGTCTCCCCATTTTACAGAACAGAAAACTAAGGCTCAGATGGAGGAGGTGTGTCCAAGTCTCCATGAGAGACAAAGTGATGCTGTGACCACTGCTTTAATTCCTATAGTGCTACATTTATTCCTCACTTCCAGATTTTTCCTGGTCCAGGACAATACTCGGAGGCTCAGATTCGAACCTACCCTAGTCAGAGAACCGAGAGGAGGGGAGCGAGGAGTTCGGACACGAGCGCGCGGCTAGGGCTGCCAATGGCCACGAGGGGGAGCGCGAGCGCTCCCCAGAGGTGGGGCCCGCGGACGGTGCGCATGCGCTCGGAGGGAGGCGGTGGCGCAGGCCTGGGGGTAAAAGGCGAGACGGTGGCCGAGAGTGCACAGGGCGGCCGACGGTGGCCGACGAGGTCTGACATGAATCAAGTGGAGCGCTACGCCCGGTTCCTCAGGTGGACGCTGGTGCGGGAGCGCGTGCGGAGCTACCTGCCCTGGGGACTGGTGTTCTCCTTGCTGGTGGGCTCCTCCCTCAAGGAGTTCTCCCCGCTGCCCGAGAGCTACTTCAGCAACAAGCGCAACGTCTTCAACGTGTGAGTGCGCCCCGGGTCCTCCCCGGTCCCCGCCATAGCCGACCCGCTGTCGCCTCATCCAGAGAGCTGAGGGTTAGCTAGCTGTTCTGATGGACGAGTCATTGGGAGGGGAAGTCCTCTCAGTCGTGACAGCGTCTGCACGCGTGTCCCGACCGAGAGACCCGGAATAGCTCGTGTCACTAGCAGTTGGTCTGCGCACACGCAAACCAGACATCCTGAGCTTGACAGGGCAGGAGGTGACGAGCAGCGCTGTGTGTGTGCCTGTGTGTACGTGTGCTCGAGGGCAGGGTGGGAAGAGGAGCGAGTCAGCCTCTTCGCTGCTCCCCTCCCCTGGCCTTGAAGTTAGGCGCTGGCCCCGGGCCTGGGGGAGATGCCACCTCGCTCTTGCTTTCCTGTGTCATCCCCCGTGCCTCTACCCTAAGTTTGAGCCCCGCGGCTGTGACAGCCCCATCACCACCGGGGGAAGACCTGTCCCCCCTCCCCACCGCACCCGGCCCCCACCGCTTTGAGCGGCTTGTGCCGGCCCAGGGCAGGGCCCTGCACGCCAAGGTAACTGGGGAGCAGTGGCACCCTCCAATCCACGACCTTTCTCCTGGACTCCCGGGACCTTGTCAGCCGCTCAAAGTTCTTGGCAGTGGCCCAGGAAAGCAACCCCAGCCGCGCTCTTTGAGACAGCTCCTTAACTCCACCCACTCCCTGTTTTTTTTTTTTTTTTTTTTTTTTTTTTAAGATTTCATTTATTTATTTTTAGACAGCGGGGACGGGAGAGAGAAAGAGAGGGAGAGAAACATCCCATCGGTTGCCTCTCGCCCGCCCCTAACGGGGGACCTGGCCTGAAACCCAGGCCTGTGCCCTGACATCGAGGGATCAAACCTGTGCTGCCTCGGTTTGCAAGAGGTCGCCCAACCACTGAGCCACAGCAGCCAGGGCTCCCCCCGCCCCCCCTTTTTTTTTTTTAACTCCTGGATTTTAAGTTTATTGCACAAAATCACTGTTGCAATAGGGAAACTCTGAAAGATGAAAGCTTCTCCCCATATCAACCCAACTTCAGTTATCTACTTAAAACCCTGGTTTCTCTCCTGAGCAGCTTTGTCAAATGCCTGACAGGCCTTGGCTCTGGCGAGATCTTTGCCCATCAGTCTCAGGGAAGAATTGTAGGACAGGCCCTGACGTGGTGTCTGAGAAACCCTTGGCACGCAGGAAAGGGTTATTCTGTCCTTGGCCCACCTTCCTCACCCACCATAGCAGCTGGGCTAAATATAGATTATGAGACTGGTAGTAGCCCCAAGTCTCCTGCAGCTGGTCCCCAGGTCAGCCACCTTTGGTGAGCACAGGGGAGGCAGAGAAAGCAGCTGCTGCTTTATCTGGCCTGGGTGAGTTTGGGAGCCAAGCAGCCTGGCAGACAAGTCCCTGTTATATGCCAGTAGCCGGGTATTCTGGCATTTTTTTTTCCCCCAAGCCTGTGTGCTAATTCATGGAAAGGAATGAGTGAATCATTGGCTCTGGGAGGGGTTAAAAAAGTCATTTGTTTCCCTCAGTTCTATTTACCAGCTGAAGAAAGAGGCCTAGAGAAGTGTGGTAACAAGTTAAGTGAGAGTCAGGATTTGAGTCTGGGTCTTCTAGGGTGAAGTTAAGCTTTTCCTGTGATCATTTTCTGCCCCATCGGGAAGAGCCATGGTGTAGAAAAAGCATGGGCTTTGAGACCCACCAAATCTTGGTGTAATCTGTGCTTGCTGGTGTGTGAGCATGGCCCTGGGCAAGTTATTAAACTTTTATTTATTTATTTACTTACTTATTTATTATTGATTTTTTTTTTTTAAAGAGAGCAAGAGAGAGGAAGAAAGAAACATTGATTTGATTTTTTCCACTTATGTATGCATTCATTTGTTGACACCACCCCCCTCCCCCACCACCACTATATTGGTTGATTCTTATAAGTGCCCTGACCAGGGGTTGAACCCACAGCTTTGACATATGAGGACAACGCTCCAACAAACTGAGCTACTCGGCCAGGGCTATTAAACTTTTCTGAGCCTCAGATTTTTTATCTGTAAAATGGGGCAAATGATACCTTTCTCCCAGACAGTATGAGTGTTCTATGGAAAAGTGAAGGTATGTGAAAGCTCTTGGCATTTGGCAGATGCTAAATTAGTATTACTTTCCTGAACAAGTAGCATAGTGCTTAAGATCACAGACCCTGGGTTTGAATCCCAGCTCCACCACTTAGGACCTCCACTTCAGGCGTGAAATCTCTCTGTGCCTCAGTTTTCTTGTCCATAAATGAGGATAATAACAGTCCCCCACCTCATAGATATGTTAAAGATTAAATAGTTAACGCATTTAAAATAGTAAGTTGTTATCTGCAGGTTTTGTCAACCTTTCTCATTTTTTCTCCCTTGAGAGTCTAGAGACCTGGGTTGTGACGTTGTTTCCTTCCTACCATGTGCCCTCTCTTCATTTCCATTTTCCTCCTCTGCCAGGTATTTTGTCAAGTTGGCCTGGGCCTGGACCTTCTGTCTGCTCTTGCCTTTCATTGCCCTCACCAACTATCATCTGACAGGCAAGACTCTCCTGGTCCTGCAGCGGCTGTTCACTCTGCTCGTGGGCACAGTCATCTGGTATGTCTGCACAACCATCTTCTCCAGCGTGGAGCACTACACAGGCAGCTGCTACCAGTCACCAGCCCTGGAGGGGATGAGAAAGGAGCACCAGAGCAAGCAGCAGTGCCTCAGCTCAGGAGGCTTTTGGCATGGCTTCGACATTTCAGGCCACTGCTTCCTGCTGACCTTCTGTGCCCTCATGATTGTGGAGGAGATGTCTGTGCTGCACGAGGTGAAGACAGACCGCAGCCACCACTTCCACACCACCATCACCACCCTGGTCGTGGCCCTGGGCTCCCTGACCTTCATTTGGTTGTGGATGTTTCTCTGCACTACCGTTTATTTCCACAACATGTACCAGAAAGTGTGTGGCACTGTGTTTGGTTTGCTGGGTTGGTATGGGACATACAAATTTTGGTATCTGAAATCTTTTTCCCCAGGACTTCCTCCCCAGGGCTCTAGTTTGAATTTGAAGCAAGACAGTCATAAGAAATAAAAGCGAAACAAAAGGAGTGACAGTAGGACAATGGCTAATACATTTTTCACTTATTTTTCTTAGTTATTTGGTTGAATTATTGGTCCTACTGCAGAGAGGATGCTTCCCAGGCAGTTTTGGTAGGTGGTGGTGGAGTCGGTGGAGTGAGTTCAGTCCCCACACTGCCCTGGGCAACATCACTCTGTGTCACAAGCACCACCATTTCCAGTTAGGCACTTTTTGTCCCTGACAATACTTGACCTTAATCTGGACTGTCCCTTTTGTCCCTAGAGGGCAGAGCTAAGGCTCAGTGAGAGGACGGAATCAGGGAGTCCAGGACCTCAGATTCCTCTGCTGCCATCGTTCTCTCCCTGATTCTAGTTGTCTTTTGTTTTAATGACTGTTAATGCTGTTATTTAACAATATTTCCCTCTGTTCAAAACAACCAGCTGTTGCCTGAAAGACATTCTGTGGTTTTAGTGTTTGTTTCATCCGTGGAATGTTTTAACTGTTAGAACTGACTTGTGATTAGCTGCCAGAGCAATTAAACTGAGTGCCTCTGTGACTGAACATCAGATGAATTGCAAGTAATGAACAGTGATAATTTTCCATCCGTGTTGTCTATTATTTATTGGTGTTTGGAGAAATAAGGTTACCTTTTTTTCCTCCTAATTTGAATGAATGCTTTATGTTTTTTAATAACTGTGGCATTTGTTGTTTGTCAACAAAATGGAAAATAACTCAACACTTGCACTTTGGCACATGTGCAGATTGCCTTCAGGGTTTTTTTTTAGAACACTAAGTTACTTTTTATAAACCAAACTCTTGGCTTATGGTATTAAATTCCACCTTGTGGGGCTATTTTCTCTGTAAGAAACTTTCCTTACCATGTGTCATTGGTATAAGCTGAGCAGAGCTTCAAAGTCCTATATATATATAGGACTATATATGTTGATTAGTCTGATGTGGCCCAGGGCATTTTTACCTTTTGGATGATTATGGTAAGTCAGAAGTGAAGGAAAATGTCCTCCATTGCCTTTGATACTGAGAAACTAAGCTGTTTGCAAAGATGTCCTTACCAAATGGCAACGTGACTTTGGCTCCACCCTCCTCTTATCTGCACCACCATCAAAAGCAAAACAAACCTGGGCCTGTTCCACCTGTTCCCTTTGTAGCCCTTCTCAATTTCCCACCTTTTGTCATTCTCTGGTCTTTACTGTGAGAGTGCTGGGAAGGGTCAGAAATCCTGTCACCTCCGTATCACAGGGGCACAGTTCTTTCCTCAGTGATAAGATACACCCCGCCCCCTGCTCCGCCCCTTCCCAGGCTGTTTCCGTAGACCTTTCAAACTGAGCCCCTTGCATTCTGGATAATCATCCTTGACTCTTTGATGCTCCTTTACCCCCCAGTTAAGCCTGATAATAGCATTAACTGATAAGCGCTGCTTAACTCCACTGGCTTAACTCAAGTATAGGTTGTTAGGGGCTTGAGCTCTGGAAAACCTTCAGGGTAAATTGTATTTCCTGTAGTGATGTATTTAAAATATGTAGTTCATATCCCCTTTGTATCCTGTTGGGCTATAAGTTACCTTGTATTGATCAAAATATGGGGTGAGTTATCTTGTACCCAAAGAAGGTAGCAAACACACCAGTAATGAGATTTCAGAGATGCCACCATGGTGCTTTGGCACCGTTGGCTAAAGGCAGGCCATTGCCACATGAGATTTTTTTGGCCCTCTGGAGTGTGGGAGTGGGGTGAAAGTGGGGGTGGGAAGCAGGTGGCAGGAGCTTGGGGAAGGGATTGAAATCTCCAAAGTTTCATGTTCAGCACCAAAAGGCAACAGGCACAGGGTGACTCCAGAAGTTCAATTCTCACACTTAAATCTCTATAGACAGTTTTTATCATCTGGGTCTGATTCAAGCTCCCCATTCAATTAACTCTGCAGAAATTGTCCATTACCGAGTCTTGTACATTGATTAGTTTCCCACTGCCTCCTCTTCATTGTTAGCACCCTTGCCTTTTTCTTGGGAGCATGCCCTCTGTCCCTATGCGAGACAGTTTGGCAGAGTTCGGGTTTAGGCAAACTTGAGATGTGTGTTCAAATCTGGGCACCACTGCTGAGAGCTGCCTGACCACAGGCAAGCCTCATTTTCCTCATGTGTAAAACAGAGGTGATGCTGTTAGGATTAAGGGAAATAATGCATGTAAAGTGCCCAGCACATGTAAAATCCCCTACCCTTTTTTCTTGACAGCCCTTTAAAACTTTCTGGCTCCTCCAGAGAAGGCAGGGGAATTCACATCTTTTGAATGCCATTTGGGGTCTATGTCTCCTGTTGAAATAGCCTTGTATTGTCTTTTGAAAAGTGTCTGTTGTTCCCAGGCGCATTTGAGGGCATCTGTGATCACAGAATACTGCCATGCTTGTTTTGCCTTTCTGTGTTGAGGTTCATTCACTGATGCCTCATTTTCCACGTGCATCTGTTGTAGTCTGAGTACCAGATTGTATTTAGAGAATGGCTCTTGCCACTATTATAGAGACACAGATCGTGTGTGTAAACAAGCAAATTAAGTAAACTGGAGATAATGAAATCCCATATTCCAGTGTTTTGTGTGTTCTTTCTATTTCCCTTAAGGAAGTTTACAACCAGTAAAGCTCAGCCCACTTTATGAAAGTAGCATTAATTCTTTCTTGAGCTACTGGTTATATATAAGGAACATCATGGCTATAGTTAATCTTATTATTCTTTCTCCTAAATCCTGTAAACTAAAGATGTGTTCAGTCATGTATTTCTTAGCTTGATTTACTCCTTTCCTCCATCATATCTGTGTCTTGGAGTCCTGGCATCTGGATCAACCAGAGCTGGGAGCAGTTTTCTTGGCCAAAGAAGAGGTAAGCCTCATGGAAGTAACACTGAAGAGCAGTTACAAAGTTCACTCACATGAGGTCATCTCTGAAAATGCCTCCAAGTCCTTGAGGCCTAGACACAGGGGAAGGCTTTTTGTGTCTTTTGGGGCCCACTCATTTGCCAGCCTGACCTGCTGGGCACCTCCAGGGAGTGCTTGTCAAAAGCTCAGTGGCTGCCGGATTAGAGTCTCTTCACACAGCAAGACTTTCCTGTTCAGATTCCTCTAGCAGCAGCGAGCCTTGAGTTCGTACTTTGAGCCAGGAGCTGGGAAGGATGATAGACTTCCTCCCTCGGGGAGCTTGTGGTCCTAAGTCAGTCCCCTCGGAGCCTAAGGTGTGTGCTGGGGTTGCAAAGGTAAATTTGATACATCTGTCCATTTGAGGGATTTTCACAAAGTGGTGTGAGTGCTGATTACGATCAGCGTCTGGGGACACAGCAGGGGACAACCCGCTGCTCTGGGAAATTAGGGAATATTGTCACAAGAACCGATTCTTTTGGGTCTTGGAGGATGAGAAGGAGTGCAAGCAGTTGGGCAGAGAAGGGCATCCAAGGCAGCAAGAACAGCGTGCCCAAGGACACGGATAGGCTGCCGGGATTTTCCTCCAGATGTCCCTTCCCAAGAAACCTAACTGTCCCATCGTTTTCAAAATCAATGGAGACTGAAGAAAGGCAGACCGATAGGACTGTCAACGGACATCATGGGGGTGCCCTGCTGTCATAAAGAGCTCCCACCTGGTTTCGTGCTGGGTTCCGCCACTGCTCATTCTGCTTTTCTGTGTGGCTTTGAATCAGTCGCTCAATACTCTGGGTCTCAGTTTCCTTATCTGATAATGGATGGCAGTGGAGTGAATAATCTCACCAACTCTTCTACTCTATTCCGTTTCTCTGTGCTGTGTGATAAAAAGTTCTTCCCAAGCTGGTGATGACTTTTATTTTAGGAAGGAACATGAAAAGAAACTCCCACTCAGAGCTGAGGTGGCAGCTGGCTCCCTGGTGAGTGCTGGAGGAGCTGACCTCTGGGTGCACTTTATCAAACCCCCCTTTTTCTCTGTGTCAACAGCCTGTTGTAGTTCAAACCTGACTGCATGGGTTCATATGGGCTTACTGGACATGGGAAGCTGAACTTAGCTCCCAGAGGGATGAACTACAGAAGCCCTTTAAAGACTTTTCAAAATCAAACCATCTTTGATAGCTATTAAGGAGAAGGTACATTCTGTTAAGAGAAACCCTGGGCAGTATAGTCACCTTTACAAACTGTCCCAGGAACCCTTATACAATCTCTGGCATGTTTTAAAGTTGAACACATAGCACAGAAAATAGGTACTCTCATACATTGAGGCGAGGAGGCATGGTAAACTGGTATAACCTGTTTTGGGTTGTTGTTTTTTTTTTAAGCAACTTAATATTTTATTTATTTTATTATTATTTTTTTATCCTCACCTGAGGACATGTTTAGAGGGGAAAGGGGAGAGAGAGAGAGGAAGAGAAATATCGATTAGTCGCCTCTTGCATGCACCCTGACTGTGGATAAAACTTGCAAACCAGGCATGTGCCCGGACTGGGAATCCAACCCACAACCCTTCCATTCCCGGGACAACACTCCAACCAACTGAGCCACACCAGCCAGGGTGGCACAGCCTGTTTTGATGGTAACTTAGTAGTACCCAAACTTGAACTGTGCAGACCCAACCATCTCAGTCTAGGCATTTGAAATGCTTATAGAAGTGGGCAAAGATGAGCACACAGATTTTACTGCAGCTTTTTGTTATAGTGAAAAACTGCGAAGAACTCAAATGCCAATCAGTCAAGTAAATTATGGTAACTTTATTGGCGATATAATACAGTCACTACAAAGACTAAAGATGTTATAGTTACCGTGGAATCTGATGGTAGAAACACCTGGTTTTGTGCTATAACTTACAGCTGTGTGCCCTCGATGAAGTCGGTCTCTGTGAGCCTCTGTTTCTAGAGTGTAAATGGGGGTGACTCAACATTCACTGCCCCAATAGTTGAGGAGCTTCGAGTAAACCAGGCACCGTGCTCAGCACAGCATTAATTCAGGGACACGGTGCTCTCAGGGGGTTTACAGTCTAGCTGGGCACAGACAATGAAATGGGCAACTGCAGACTGGGTTCTGGGCTCAACAGTAGAGTCCTCCCCAAACTACCTGACCGCTGTCACAGCTCAGGCAGAGGTGATTCACACAGAACACCTAGAAAAGGAAAGGAGTGGGGAAGTTAGCATGGACTCTAACCAGGCTGCCTGGGTTCTAATCTGGCTCTGCCATACACACCTGGCTGTGTCCCCTTCAACAGTTCCTTAATCTCTCAGCCTCAGTTTCCTCATCTGTAAAGTTGGGATAATATAAGTACCTACCTCACAAAGTTGTTGAAAGGACTAAATGAACTGATATTTGTAAGGTGCTTAGACAGGACTTAGTATATATGAGGTGCTATAAAATGTCTCTCATGTGCACAGTAAGTCCCTAACAGGTCCTCATTACCATCCCCTTTAAAATCAGAACAGAAAAACCCCATATATGTCAGTGTTTTAATTCTGATCAGCTCAGCAGTAGTTAAAATGTTTGTCAATGAGTGTGGAAGGCCATGTCCCAGTGACTAGCACGGGAACGGAGACCCTAAAACAGCAATCTGGTTTCCAGATTAACTAGGCCGTCAGGGAGAGCAAGAAATGTGTTTTCCAGGAGAGCCAAAAGAAAAGGATAGTCAGGTATCCATGGGGTCCTTTTGGCCAAACTAAAGCCGGTGCCCCCGGTGGAGGCGCTGTCTACTCACAGGCACCCAAGGGCAGCTGCCTGGGTTTCCAGGCTGTGTATTTTGGGGGGACTGCACTGAGAGCCTTATCAGGGAGCCTTGGCTCTTCCCCTGTCTTCACCGGGGTGTGGCTGCATGGTGTATGCGCAGGCCTGAGTGCTCCGGAGGCTAGTGGTGGGGGAGGGGCCTGCGAGCCACTCTGATTAGCATCTTAATTTCTGGAGCAAAGTTATTCAGGCCTTGCTCAACCAAGCTGCTGTGGCCCATTTCCCAACCACTCCTTTAATATCTTCCTGCCTCTACTTGCATTTACTGAGCATGCTGTGTTTGCTACATACCCCTGTGTATGCTACATACATACATACTGTACTGTTGGGGACTGATGCAGGGGTGAATGGGTGGGGGTATAAACTGACTGGACTTGAGCAAGCAGAGTATCCACATCCTGCCTACCAGCTTCACAGCTGTGTGGTCTTAGGTAAGTCACTTAGCTTCTTTGGGTTTGCTAGTCATCAATGAAATAGGGATAATCCTTTCTACCTCACTAGTCTTTGGTTGGCTTAATGAAATCATGGATGGGAAAATATTTTATAAGCTTTAGAATATCGGGCACCTATGAGGGCTGCTTATTATTGAGGAGATTGATCTTCCTCTAATGAATGTCTCTCTCAGAAGCGTGGGCACTGCAACTCCATCAGGAGGTGCAGTTTTTTCTGATGTGGTTTCCCTGTTAAAGCAGATCAGCACAGTCTCCAGCACTTTGCATTCAGCTCTTGGTCTGGACAATGTTATTCTATCAGTGAGGGCCACAGAAAGCCATTAGATCTACTTGGCAGGGCAGCAGTACATCTTCACTTTCTCACTGTGGGGCTGTGTCGGCTTTTCTGTTCTCTGTCACCATCTAGTCTGTAGAGGCCTGGATTAGACTGGTGTCCCCGTAAGAAAACACCAATCCACTCATTGACAACATCACACTGTACCCAATGAGCAGGAAATAGCAAGCACATCAAATGCTTTATATGGTACATAAACCCCATGGTATTCAGAAGCCTGGCACCTTGGTGAAGTTTCTAGGATCCCAGGCATTAGGAAACATCAGGTTATCCTCCAAGTAAAAGGCAAGTTGCTGCTGCTATCCCTAAGAAAAAAGCACAACAACTGTAGCCCTCTTTGGATTTGGGAGGCAATTTACACCCATTTGAGTGTGCTGCTCCAAACCATTCACTGAGGAACCCCTAAGACAGCCAGTTTTCAATGGGCCCCAAAGCAGGTTCAGGCTGCTGTGCAACATCCTCTGCCAACTGAGTCATATGACCCAGTCTATCCAACAGTGCTTAAATTGTCTGTGACATTTAAAATTGTATGGGACCCCCAGCAGGCCCTAACAGGAAAATCTCAGTGCCCATCCCTAGGACTTAGAACAAAGTCATGCCCTCTTCTGCAAATAACAATTATTATTTTAAAATACAGTGTCTGGCTTGCTACTGGGCCCTGATAGAGGCTGAACACCTGACTGTGAGACACCAAGAGACTCTGCAATATGAGCTGCCTAGCATGAACCGGGTATCACCTGATCCGTCGGCTATAAAGCGAGGCATGTACCGCAGCATTCTGTCACCAACTGAGAGTGAAACCACTCAGGCTACGTCACCTATTCCTGCTGCATTGCCCCTCTTCCTCAGTCAATACCTAAGACCTCATGGTAAATCCTTATAATCAATTGATGGAGGAAGAAAAAGGTCAGGCCTGGTACCAACTGGAAGTGGATGGCTGCAGCACTACAGGAAGGCCCTGAAAGATACTGGCAAAGGGAAATCCCTTCAGGGAACAGAACTTCAAGGAGTACAGTTGGCCCTCCATGTCTGCAGATTTTAAATCTGAGGATTCCAACTGGGGATCCAAAATATGTTATTATTATTTTTTATTTTTAGAGAGGGGAAGAGAGGGAGAA